TCAAATTAATTAAATTTCATGTTTGTTCATGTACACCTCCTTTGTTTAAATGTATATAAATTATTATTTTTCTATATCTATTAATTCAAATTAATTAAATTTCATATTGGTTCACTTATACTCCCTTTGTTTAAATGTATATATATTATTCTTTTTCTATATTCATTTATTCAAATTTATTAAATTACATGTTCATGAATCAATTTCATTGTTCTCATACAATTCAATTATTTATTTACGTGCATGTTTAATAATTAATATCCAACTAAATATATATTGAAAAATGAAAAAGTAGGATACTATTGAAATAATTAAATTGTAGTAGGGCTAAAATCGTCCAGAAAATGATTCTCACTTCATGCAATATTTAATATACTATAGATGTATGGTTAAAAAGTATGGAAAAATTTTCAGTATACGTGTAGAATATTTTATTGTGCAAATGTGTGGTTAAAAATGATCTTGTAACAAATGATAAAATAAATTAATAGGTGTCAACAAGTACTAAATAGCCGGCATTTACTTTGGACCCTAAGACGACATTACTGAATACTCCACAGAGCTTCTTTTTAAGCTCCGAGCATATTGTTCCATCCCATCATGAAAGAAGTTCATCGGATTGAATAACGAAGTTCTATAATCATATTCTTCTCCATTTACAAAAGAAAGAGGAAATTATCGAACTTAACATTTCACCATTCACTGTAGTGTAAAAGCAAAAATAAGTCATGACTTCATGTCTTCCGGCCCCTGTTTAAGAAATTTGTAAATGTGTCGGGGCTATGATGAAAAAATGAATCTAGTCGACACATGAGAATAGTGTTAAAGACAAAATTTAATAAATAAATAAAAATGTCCCTTCTCTAACAACTAACATTTTAGATGAGATAGTTCAACAATATAAGGACTGTTAATTGGTAAAGGGGAACAAAGAATGAATAACTTCTTAATTCCATGCTTCTTATTCCTATATTAATAGCTCCAAATGTGCATCAGATACCAACTCTAAACTTGAAACTCTGTAACGTTGTTAATATCCATTCTTGTCATCAAATCCATGCACTGCATTTTTTGTTTCATGCTGGTCACTAGTCAAAAATTTTCCTTCAAATTCTAGAGAAAATTCTTGTTCATCTTTCTCCTTCCTTCTTCTCCTTCATTTCTGTGCCGCTTACGCCCAATCCATTTTCTAGCTTTTCCACGTCTCTCTTGGATTCTTTACGAGTTTTCCAACTGTTCTCTAAAGCGCTTACTAGAAAACTTTTATGGTATCCCTTGTACAAAGATCCCTCCTTCCGCCTGTCAAAATTCTTGTGGGGCTTTCCAGGAAAAAAATTATTCTTTAGCTTTCTCTCTCGGAGTTTTAGTTAACTCATGAGATCTAGCACTGGCTTCCTTTTCTTCTAATATCATCATGAAATTTCCATTCGCCAACTCCGAATCAACTCTACCGGTTAACGGTTAAGCATCCCACATTTAATTGGCACCCCAAAATGACATCACCATCCTCTTCACCGAGCTTTCTTTGTAAGTTCCAAGCATAATTTTCCATCTCATCATGAGAGCAGTTAATTCGATACAGCAACCAGATGCAAATAACTATGAGTAACACGTACTCAAAGCCGTGTGATAAGTGCATTTTGTACACTTATTTGGGCCATATTACTAAGCTTTTTTATCTTCAAAGTATTGAATTCTACTTAATTTGGGTTAATTTTCTTTCATTTTAGTATTGGACCCATTTTAAGCAGTTGGAAAAGAAAGAAGGATCAATTGGCCATTGAATGGAAGGTTTGGGACTAAATTGCATTAATTGGGGAAAGTAATGCTTTAAAGTGAATATACATTAAATTGGCTTCAGTTCGGAATTGCATTTACCATCAAATTCAATAACAACTTGGATTCCCAATAAGACACTAAGAAGAGGTGGCTGAGGTTGAGAATATATACACACACATAGGCTCAAAATGGGAGGAGAATTGGACAAGTTTTTGGGGCGACGGCTGGAAGAATTAAGGAGTAATGTTATTCACTTCTAATGGGGTTACAAACACAGTTTAGATGGCTCCTAAACTGTGTTTATAATCCAATTGGGGATGAATAACATTATTACTCATTAAGAAGAGGCACGATAAAAACGCACGAAATTAAGGCAGAAGAGAACGTACACGGGCAGGAAAAAAAAGAATTAGTTCCAAATTTTTGTACGTAATTCATCAACAATTGTGCGAGAATTAATCACGTTCCGTCAATTTCTTGGTGAAATCGTTTAAACTTTATTTGTTTAATTCCTACACTACACTATGCTATGCTAGATTATTTTAGTGCTAGATTTTCGATTAACTTTGTATTATAAAACTTTTAACTTTTGAATCTTGTTATAATATTAAAGCATGTTTTTAATTGTCAATACAACTAAAAACCTAACAAATCATGTAACTTTGCTATTGAAATATCGAAAACTTAAAAATTCCAATTCCATCTGATTAGAAGTAATCACACAAAATTCCCATTCTGTGCATATTCTATCAATCAATAACAGGAAAATATTATGAAAGCGTAATTAGATTAATGGATTCAATCAAATAATTTGGCTCCTTTAGTTTATACATGACCAAATACTGAAAAACCAAATCTGTTTCACTCATGTCATTTCCTTATAGCAACTCAAGACCATAATCAAAGCCAGATTATTCTCGATCATAACATATATCATATCAATTAATACACCTAATTCAATAACTAAGTCATGGCTGTCTTGATTTTTCAAAGTGTGTGAGCAGTGAACCATGTTAAATATAGTTGTAACGACGATGGATACTTTGGTTTAAATTCCATGATTTTCGATTTTTTTTCTTTACAATATTCATCATTATTCAATATGTTGTTCATGTCTTCAAATAAGAGAAGGTCATGGATGTTGATATTCATAGCAACTTGTAAAATTCATTTCACAATTTTGCATAAAGTCACATTTTACAAGAACACAAGTTTTACATCACATTCTTAATTTATATATGCATATTTGAAACTATAGATCGTATTATGAATCAATCAAATACATCATAGGTATTTTGATACATACAAATTGTATTGCGGATATTTTATTTCACAAATATAACATCATAGGTCACAATTGCATAATGTAGGACATTACAGTCGCAATTTCAAACAAAATTATAAATATTCAAATTCACATGTTCTTGACAATAATCTTCAATTGAACAAGTAGCACAACACAAAAAATGGTCAGTTTGTGACTAATAATCATAGTAACACAATATTTATGTCACAATTTTATTTGCATAGAATCACAATTTTTAGAGACACAATTTTTAGGTCACATTCTTAAATTGTATACGCATAATTAAAACAATAGAAGATATTATGAATGACGGTAAAAAAACATCCAACATCATAATTCACAATCGCGAAGGGTATTATGGAACATAAATCATATCGCAAATATTTTATGTCCTAAACACAATATCACAAGTCACAGTCACACAATATAATGCATCACAGTTTAATATTCGAACAAAATGCCAATTTTCCAAATTCAAATGTATTTGCATAATCTTCAATTGAATCAAGCAGTACAACACTTAGAATGTCACAGTTTATGATCGACAATCTTAGTCACACAATCTAGTTCACATTCAATTATGCAATATGTCACAATATGACAATGGTAATAAGTTACATCAACATATACACAAGGTAATAGATTGTCAAGTTACATCCACATATACACAAGGTAATAGATCATGACAATCTCTAAATAATTATTCAAGCTTGGATTCCGCATGTTCAAAATAGACGAAAAACATAGATAACCACGGGCGAGGTCACAATTCCAACATCCACTAAATCTCGGTAACATTCTTTGGATTCACACACGCGCGCGCGCGTGCACACACACACACACATATACATGATGTGGTGAGATATGATTGAGTAAAAAAAATCAATTAAATAAAAATTATCTCCACTTTTTTCACACATTATCTATATGTAAATCATTGTGTAACTCCATTATATACAAATAGCATTATTCTTATCCCTAACATTATGGCATCCACTACCTTAACAATACATATCTTTTATTTATTTGTTTCGTCATAGCCTCATAGATTATATTTGTCTACTTATAGGTGTTGTTAATAATTACAGCTATGTTACATTGCCAGAAAAAAATGCCATCTCTCTTAATAGATAGCATTATGTTATTGGACTATTTAAAAAATAATCAATTTTTGCATTTAATCATCTGTCGCCACCACTACATTTGTCAAATAGGTGGGAATGATTTATAGCAAAGTGGCTTAACTCTAATAATTCTTAAGAGCTTAAGGACGGGTGCATAATTCCAATCAGATTGACAAGTATGTTAGACTTTTCTATATGTGCGTCCAACAATATGCTTTCGGTTTCATTTTGATTAAATTAGTTCGTGTTTGGAATCCATTTTTAAAATTATTTTCAAACAAATATTTCGTAAGATTCATAACTTTTATTTTGTCAATCAACATTTCATTATATATTATTAAAATCTACTGAAAAATATGAGCTTAATGTAATTGAAATATATTTCCATTTTTGATCTAAATCAATATTTCGCGGAATAAATAAGTTGTCAATCTTGTACTCCTCGATCCTTATACATTTCCATCTACATCAACTTTTAACTAGCAAATATTAACTACGTGGAACTTCTCCAAATTTTGGTCAAGACCTTCAATCGTGAAATTTCCTGAATTTGGGACAATGTCAAACATCACTATACTCAAAATGACCCAATGCAACTAATAAAAATACAAAAAGAAGATAAATGATTGTGGTTAATCATAGAGTTTAGTTGAAGAAACTTAATAATTGCACGTTGGATAGGACTTCCATATGCGTTACTACCCTAAATATCCAAAGAGTAGCGCTTCTTGTACAGAAGAAAAAAAACATAAATTCACCAGAATAGACTCACATGTGGGTCCCACGCCTGGTTTTTTTTAAAATACACGGTGGGGCCCATTGTTTGTGTGTATTCTGGCCAACTTCTGTTGCTTCTTCTTTACAAAGGGAATAAACCATATAGAAACATGCCGTTGATTTCTTTGACGCAATTTAAATAGAATAATGTTCTTCATAGTCAACGACTACAGGAATATCATTATTCATCTAAATAAGGGAAGTTAATTAAACCGCGAAAATAATTTCGTCCGACATAAATTATAAGAAACGTGATAACATATATTTATTTATTTATTTTATTCTGTTCAATCAAACATAAACACGTTATCAAAGAATAAAAGAGAATAGAAATTAGTTAGAAATCCGTGCCGATCTTCAAGTGAT